TGTGATTTTTATGCATATATCATATAACTTAACAGTGAAGTTTGAGAAATAGAGATGGAAGATGCTGGGGAATTTTTGTATTTTTTCCCCTTTCATAATAGCTAAAATAAAGTTTCTTGTTTTTTTTTTTTATTTGTTATCGTTTTTCATCCCCCCCCCCCAACTCATAAACTTAACAGTGAAGTTTGAGAAATAGAGATGGAAGATGTTTGGGAATTTTTGTTTTTTTTCCCCTTTTATAATAGCTAAAATAAAGTTTCTTGTGTTTTTTTTTTATTTGTTATCGTTTTTCATCCCCCCCCCCCAACTCATCAGACACATGTTCCCAATCAGTGAGTTATGCAGCAGTTTCTATTCCTATAAATCACTGATCTACTAATGCACGTAACACTATTCTCATAATGAATGTTCCTGATTTATTACGTTATTATTAACTCTTTTTTTTTTAAAATCTAATTCCCCAGCCGGACTGATCCTCCCGTCACCACTTCTCACACCCCTTGATTCACGCTGCGTCTCCCCGTTCGTCGGGATGCCTCAAATCAGTGAGCGCATGGACCGCATACCCCTACCACCGCCACCGCCGCCATTCTACCCGTATCTTCCCCTGCACCCGAACAGCGCGGCGGTTGCGGCGGCCATGGCCACACACCACGCCCTCCACCCGATGCTGCTGTTCCAGCACCACCTGGCTGCCCTGTCGGCGTCCCTCGGCTCCTCGAACCCGGGTCTCTTGGCGGGCGGTCTGCACGGGTTCGGGCTGCTCCACTCCTCAACATCCGCCCCTGCTCATCACACCACGACCGCCAGCAGCGTCTCCAGCAGCAGCAGCATGCCGAGCGGAATCAGGAGTGGTAGCAGCAGCAGCGGCGGCAGCCCGGGAAACGCTCCGCCCCCCGTTCTGCCAAACGCCATACGACCACCCAGCAACACGCCCACAGCCCTGCCAACCCCGCCCGCAATGGTCTCGAACGCCAATGACAGAAGTAGCCCAAACATGGTGTGCGGCTTCCGGGCCACTAAAAACACAAGCATAGCTGACCTCAGGTTGAAGGCCAGGCAACATTTGGCGAGTCTGGGCATATAGCCACCAGTATCTACAGCAAGCAAATGATCTCATAAAATACCAAAATGTCAACTCATATGCGAATGCATTCGCCGAGATGTGCGCGGGAAAAGACCCCGCGTCTTGTTGAGAATAATGAAAATAAACGTTTAATTTGTTTAAGTCACTAGATACATAATGATGAATACTTTTTTTTCCCCCGTGATTGGGAAATTTTGATAGAATGTGTTGTCATCGGTGATAAGTCTACATGTCGAGTTGCAGCTCGTTTGGGTAGACGGGAAGTGGGTCAAATAGCCGTCCGAAGGTTTTTGCCCTCGGCCAGCCACAAATGAAAGCGAAGTTGATATAAAGGATTTAAAAAAGAAGACCAAAAAAAAAAAAGGCTAGAAGCCCAAGGTCCGACCTTATTGACTCATTTTATAACTCAAGATTTACAAAGCTTTATTTCAGCACCGTTGGTGTCGGGAAATTCCTGGGTCAGCTCCACCCCATTAAAGGCCTAGAAAGTGGGGAGCAGAGTAGGGGGGGGGCGGTTTGCACCGGGCAGCACTTTTTTTTCTTTATATGGAGGCACGGTATTTTCGGAAAACTGCAGATTTTTTTCGTGGAAGTGGGGCGCCCAAGAGATTAACCCGCCTCGGGAGGCACTAACATCAGCCAAGCCACTGCTACCCCACCCCCTTACCACAAGGGGTGCGCGTTCTCACGTGAATGTGGCTGAGGGCGTCGGAGCTGCGGCTGATAATATTTTTAATGAAGAGATTGGGGTGGAAATGACAAAAGTATATTTTTTAACGTTATTGTCAAATGACATTGCTTGACATCCGATATACGAGAACTTATTCCAAGAGGAAACACACAACAATTACCAATTATACTAATAACAATAAAACTGTAGGAGCATTTTGTTCTCATGACTGTCTACGGGTAAGGTGATTAGGGCGAGGTGTGACAAGACGCGGATTACGGTGCAGATTTGAACAGAGCGTGCTTGCAAACACTGCTCATTATCACCACTTCTCATTATGATAACCTTTCATTGTCATTACATCTCTTTGTCATCACCACTCATTATCATGCCCTCTCATTATCATCACTTGTCATTGTCATAACTTCTTATTGTCTTCACTTCTCATTGTCCTCAACTCTCATTATCATCACTTGTCATTGTCATAACTTCTTATTGTCTTCACTTCTCATTGTCCTCAACTCTCATTATCATCACGCTTATTGCCACCACCTCTAATTGTCGTCACCACTCTTTGTCATCACTTCTCATTATCATCACATCTCATTGTCATCACCTGTCATTGTCATCACCTCTCATTGTCATCACCACTCATTCTCACCACTTCTCATTAATTCCCATCGCCATCGCTTCTCAGTATTGTCACCACTCATTGTCATCACTTTTCTTTGTCATCACTTTTCTTTGTCATGACATCTCATTCTCATCAACTCTCATTGTCATCACTTTCCATTCTCATCACCTCTCATTCTCATCACCTCTCATTCTCATCACCTCTCATTCTCATCACTTTTCATTGTCATCACCTCTCATTGGCATCACTTCTCATTGTCATCACTTCTCATTGTCATCACCTCTCATTGGCATCACTTCTCATTGGCATCACTTCTCATTGTCATCACTTTTCATTGTCATCACTTCTCATTGGCATTCCTTCTCATTGTCATCACTTCTCATTGTCATCACCTCTCATTGGCATCACTTTCCATTCTCATCACCTCTCATTCTCATCAACTCTCATTGGCATCACTTCCCATTGTCATCACCTCTCATTGTCATCACCTCTCATTGGCATCACTTCTCATTCTCATCACTTTTCATTGTCATCACCTCTCATTGGCATCACTTCTCATTGGCATCACTTCTCATTCTCATCACTTTTCATTGTCATCACCTCTCATTGGCATCACTTCTCATTGGCATCACTTCTCATTCTCATCACTTTCCATTGTCATCACCTCTCATTGGCATCACTTCCCATTCTCATCACCTGTCATTGGCATCACTTCCCATTCTCATCACCTCTCATTGGCATCACTTTCCATTCTCATCACCTCTCATTCTCATCACCTCTCATTCTCATCACCTCTCATTGGCATCACTTCTCATTGTCATCACTTCTCATTGTCATCACCTCTCATTGCCACCACTTTCCATTGTCATCACCTCTCATTGGCATCACCTCTCATTCTCATCACCTCTCATTTTCATCATCTCTCATTGTCATCACCTCTCTTTGGCATCACTTCCCATTCTCATCACCTCTCATTCGCATCACTTTCCATTCTCATCACCTCTCATTCTCATCACCTCTCATTGGCATCACTTCCCATTGTCATCACCTCTCATTGTCATCACCTCTCATTGGCATCACTTCTCATTGTCATCACTTCTCATTGTCATCACTTTTCAATATCATCATTTCTCATTGGCATCACTTCTCATTCTCATCACTTTTCATTGTCATCACCTCTCATTGGCATCACTTCTCATTGTCATCACTTTTTATTGTCATCACCTCTCATTGGCATCACTTCTCATTTCATCACCTCTCATTGGCATCACTTCTCATTCTCATCACTTTTCATTGTCATCACCTCTCATTGGCATCACTTCTCATTGTCATCACTTCTCATTGTCATCACTTTTCAATATCATCATTTCTCATTAGCATCACTTCTCATTCTCATCACTTTTCATTGTCATCACCTCTCATTGGCATCACTTCTCATTGGCATCACCTCTCATTGTCATCACTTCTCATTGTCATCACCTCTCATTGTCATCACCTCTCATTGGCATCACTTCCCATTCTCATCACCTCTCATTGGCATCACTTCCCATTGTCATCACCTCTCATTGTCATCACCTCTCATTGGCATCACTTCTCATTCTCATCACTTCTCATTGTCATCACCTCTCATTGGCATCACTTCCCATTGTCATCACTTCTCATTGTCATCACCTCTCATTGTCATCACCTCTCATTGGCATCACTTCTCATTCTCATCACTTTTCATTGTGATCACCTCTCATTGGCATCACTTCTCATTGTCATCACTTCTCATTGTCATCATCTCTCATTGGCATCACTTCTCATTGGCATCACTTCTCATTCTCATCACTTCCCATTCTCATCACCTCTCATTGGCATCACTTTCCATTCTCATCACCTCTCATTCTCATCACCTCTCATTGGCATCACTTCTCATTCTCATCACTTTTCATTGTCATCACCTCTCATTGGCATCACTTCTCATTGTCATCACTTCTCATTGTCATCATCTCTCATTGGCATCACTTCTCATTGGCATCACCTCTCATTGTCTTCACTTCTCATTGTCCTCAACTCTCATTGTCATCACCTCTCATTGGCATCACCTCTCATTCTCATCACCTCTCATTGTCATCATCTCTCATTGTCATCACCTCTCTTTGGCATTACTTCCCATTCTCATCACCTCTCATTGGCATCACTTTCCATTCTCATCACCTCTCATTCTCATCACCTCTCATTGGCATCACTTCTCATTCTCATCACTTCTCATTGTCATCACCTCTCATTGCCATCACTTTCCATTGTCATCACCTCTCATTGGCATCACCTCTCATTCTCATTACCTCTCATTGTCATCACTCTCATTATCATCATATTTTCTCATTGTCCCCAATTCATTAGCATTGAAAACTAATGACATGCTTAAGTGAGCTTGAGTTCAAACATAATATCAGCGTTTGGATTCACTTATTAAGTACCATAAGTTGCTGGGCGTCTCAGCTCAAGTTTCCGATTTCTGGTGGTCTTAAGGCATTACAATAAAAACTGGATATTTATAAGTTTTTTTTATACATTTATTAGATAAGCTGATTTATAATGTCATGTCTGACATTAATGTAAGTTGCAGCGCTGAAATATCTGCCATATAACTGGTGTATTACATGTGGCATTTAACATACTATAATGCCAGGCATTTAGATAATGACAAATGCCTGACATTAAGCTGGTGTATAGTAGCTAAACATCTGACACTAAAACAATATAAAATGGCCAAATGTCTGAAGTGCCTGACATTAAGCTGGTGTGTAGTAGCTAAACATTTGACACTAAAACAATTATAATGCCCAAATGTCTGAAGTTAAGCTTATATACAGATTTAACTTATGTATAATGCCTGTAGGACTATTGACCCCAGCTCCTCCTCTCCTTCAATCTGTAATTTAACCATCAGCTAGCAGTAGGCCTATGTTATATGAATGTCTGACAACGTTAAAATGTATTGATATTCAGTGGTTGTATTGTCCATGACATTTGGCTAATGTTTAGTGTCTGACATTTAGCTAATGTTTTGCATCTGACATTTAGCTAATGCTTTGTGTTTAACATTTAGCTAATTTTACTATGTCTGACATTTAGCTAATGTTTTATGTCTGACATTTAGCTGATATACAATTGTACATAAACAATGTTTACAAATTTCACTTGTATTAAATCAAATTTTATTCATCCTTTATTTACATCCTTTTACAATTGTCTCTTCAAGTAAAAAAAATAAATCATCAAATAATCAGAGAAGTACTTTGTTAGAAACTTGAATGAAAAATAACTTTTCTATAATGTCTAACCTGTAAATGTCAAAAATTATCACATGAAAATAATCATGATATAAAAGCCACTAACTCAGATTTGGATCTTTATTGAGTTGCCTCCCCAAACTCTCCCATAGAAAAGAGTCTGCGTAATCTTAATACAGAATGCCTGAACCTAACTCCTTGCAAAACCCCCGCCTCTAGTCATGACCAATGCAGATCTATAGCTTCACCAATTTTACAGCTTGGGTGGAATTTGAATGGCTGATTTGATACGATTAAAGCAAATAATGCAAGTGCATTTTTTTTTATACAGTGACACAAAAGTAATTGACATGAATTCAAAAGTTAAAAATAAAAATATCAGCTGCAACACAAAAATCTACATTTTTATAGGTCTTTACAAAACCAGGACTAGGGGGGAAATAATTTTACTTTTCTTTTAATTTAAATTCTTTGGCACATTTAAGAAACACCCATTCTCATGCATTATATTATTTTTAAAAAAAATTACTTTCATGCGTAACGATAAAAATAGTTTAAGTAAAGAATTGCTATGTTATGAAGAGATATATTTAAAAATGAAATCAAGTATCTATTCATTGTAGAGATTCAGACATTTGTCTTTTAATAACATTGTTAAAATGATGCCACTCACCAGAATTGGTTTGCTTATAACTTTCATCACACATGGAAGAAAACTATTTCTTTTGTAATAACAAAAACTGTGTCGTTCCAGCCAATAACTATTATTATAAATGATTGTGTTTAAAAAAAATGATGAGGTACTTACTTCAAATTCATTAAAAATAATATTTTAATTTATAGTCATTCATGGCGACACAAAAAAAAAGACAAATAAAAATTACAACAAAAAAAAGACAAATGAAAAGACAAATAAAAATATATCATGAATGGATCAAAAGATGTCACTCTTTTTATCTCCTGTTGTAAAACCTTTGAAAAGATGCATTGTTCTTCTTGCTTAAATTTGTGGAATCTAATAATAAATCTATGAAACAATTATTTAGAAATGTTGTGGTACATGAAATGGGTGCAGTAAGCCAGCCTGACTTACAGGACCCTCTTAAATTTCGTCCCTTTGTTGGGCGCGGATAGGTTGCGCTTGATGAAGATGCCTCCATCGTCGTAGCTCTTCTTCCTCTGTTTCTTCTTCTTGTTCCTTTCACCATGGTGGTCTGGCTCTTCAACAGCCTGGAATATGAAAGCAAGTGCTTTTAACAGAATTCGTAACGTGCACACATGTCGGATTTCACCCTACTTATTTGATTTATTGTAAATAGTGTGGCGGATTATGGAACATAATAGCCCCCCCAAAATGACACCCCTTTATTTTAAATTATGCTAGCACCAGATAAAATATACATCATTGGAAATCAGGTCACTCACCATGCTTATCTGCATGTTCTCAATCTGTGAGCTGAGGTATCCAATTTCTCGTCTGTACTGGTCCAGCTGTGCCTCAAGCTTTTCCCTCTTAAGTTTTTCATAGTCCAGCTGGGCCTCCAGCTCATTGATGGTTCTGTTACAGGCAACATGAGAAGTACATTAAGTCAGGGATTTATGAAGGGCTTCTATGGGAATTTCTTTGAGATATTTCCATGAGAATGTATTTGAGAGGTTTCTATGAGGATTTCTTTGAGAGGTTTCTATGAGAATGTCTATACTATGTGGGGTATTTTAATGAGGGATTTCTAAGACGGCTTTCTCTGAGAGGTTTTTAGGGGTTTCATAAGGAATTTCTATGAGAAATTTCTATGAGCGGCGGTGTCCATGAGACGTCTCTGATGGGTTTCTATGAGGTTCTTTTTTTAAAAACAGGTTGTACTCAAAAGGGCTGATGCCAGATACATTGACATTCTTAATCTCCGCAAAACAAGACAAGAACTTAGACAGCATTTTTTTTTAATATCACATTTTTTTAAAATTAACTGTCTGTCTGCATTGTTAAAATGGCTACTGAAAGGGTCATTCCAAAACTTACTGGTCTTTGTCCCTTATTTCTCTCAGTCGCTTCCTGTCCTCCTCTAGAGATCCTCCCAGTTGTACGTAATTCTTTTTCGCAATGTCCAGTAAATGTTCAAGCTCGTCCACCTTCATTTTAGCTCGACCTGAGTGATGAGATGGTGAAGGGGGTTATATTTATCTCCTGTTGTTATTTAAATTAATATTAGAGTAACTATTTTGAAATAGTAACATTAGACATATTTCCTGGGAATCCCCCCCCCCCCAATAGTTTTTTTTTCTATTGAGTAACATTCCTGTCATTGGTTAAAGTTGCACACTAGACCTTTTGGAACTAGTTAAAGAGTAATGCCACTGAGCTCTGTTTTTATGTTCTATATTTCTTGGGAATCCCCCCCCCCCCCAATAGTTTTTTTTTCTATTGAGTAACATTCCTGTCATTGGTTAAAGTTGCACACTAGACCTTTTGGAACTAGTTAAAGAGTAATGCCACTGAGCTCTGTTTTTATGTTCTATTATTTTAGAGGAAGCACCCACAAAGTTTTATTTTAACTCTTTCCCTCACATTCTTACAAGCAGTAACACTGATTTATGGGTTAAAGTTGCTTGCAAAATGAGGTAGCTTGGGTATTGAGGTAGCTTGTGTAATGGGGTAGCCATGCATTGGGGTAGCTTATGTAATGTAATGAAGTAGCCAGGTACTGAGGTAGCTTGGGTATTGAGGTAGCTTGGGTAGTGTGGTATTTAGGTATTGAGGTAGCTTGGGTAATGAGGTAGCTCGAGTCATGTAGTAGCTTGGGTATTGAGGTACCTTGTGTAATGAGGTAGCCAGGTATTGAGGTAGCTTATGTAATGTAATGAGGTAGCCAGAGGTGTGGTTTCTCAGTACACAGTCTTACATCTCATGATATCCCCCCATAACACTAAATTATGGAGCCTAATTAAGAATTTAAATACTTACAACATATTGTTTTCTCAGCATTAGATGCTCATTACATCATGTTCTCAGTACATCATGTTCTCAGGATATCATATTCTCAGTTTATCATGTTCTCAGTATATCATGTTCTCTGTATATAATGTTCTCAGTATATCATGTTCTCAGTATATCATATTCTCAGTATATCATGTTCTCAGTATATCATGTTCTCAGTATATCATGTTCTCAGTATATCATGTTCTCAGTATATCATGTTCTCAGTATATCATGTTCTCAGTATATCATGTTCTCAGTATATCATGTTCTCAGTATATCATGTTCTCAGTATATCATGTTCTCAGTATATCATGTTCTCAGTATATCATGTTCTCAGTATATCATGTTCTCAGTATATCATGTTCTCAGTATATCATGTTCTCAGTATATCATGTTCTCAGTATATCATGTTCTCAGTATATCATGTTCTCATCCTTTCTAAAAACAAAAATATTATTATTATAAGTTCCAATCTCTCTGTCACCTTTTGCATTATCCTGAGCCTTTTTTGACCTCCTTGCTTTCCTTTTTACTCCATCTCCCTCCTCCTCCTCTTCTCCTTCACTCTCTAATCCAACCACCAGCTCTTCTGCTTCATCTGTGGGGAAAAAAAAGAAAGATTTAACATTGTGACTGCTGCTTGATGAGAGAGTATTATAAATATGGATTTTCTATAAGGAAAATCAGCATAGTAATTACTAGCAATAAAGGAATTATAATTTTAGCACCATTTATAAGGAAATTTAAAAGAATTTGTCCAACATGAAAATTTAACACAATTAATAACAAAATAATATTTATTTCAATTTATTTTAAAAAAAAAAGAATTATAAAATAATAAAATGCAAGTTGTCCCTCATTATCTGTTGCACAGTAATTATTGATGAAATACCACAATTTCTAAGAGTCCTTTTTTAAACAAATATGTAACATACAATATTAATTATTTGAAAAGTTTATTCATCATTTATTGTAGATGCCAAGTCTTACAAACTTATCTAACCTAAAAATTTAAAATTGTAAAAATTTCCTGAAAATTTTTGAATTGGTGACTTTGAATGCTTTTATATTTTTATCTGAAGTGGTAAACATCTTTTGTGGGATCTACTCAACTTGGATTTGTGAATGTCATAGAGTCCTCAGTTCCAACTGTTCAGGCTTACCTGAACTGGCTCCACCCAAAAGTTTGGCACAAGCAAGCTGTGCAAATCTCCTGGCAACGTCGCAAGGTGTTTCACCAGCTTGGTTGGTGATGTTCATGTTGGCTCCCATTTCTAAAAGCCATTGCAGGATGTGGATGTGTCCCTGGCCAGCAGCTGCAAGGATTGTCAACAGGGAAGGAAGACAGACAGCTATTATTTATGTATCATAAGTTGACTGCTGTTAAACTTTAGGGAAATAGGAAAAAAAAAAGTGGTGGAGGAGGTTGGAGTGGAAAGTACTAGTGTTTGCCACACACACTGGAATTTCTACAGCAAACTCCTCCACCCCAGACACGCCTCAGACAAAAATTCTATCTTTAAGTAACAAGAACAAATAACATTTCCTTTATATCTTTATCATTTCCATTAAGCATGTGTCTATCGTTTTCTTTGTCTTTTTATAATTATTGGTACACATTGAATGGGTCCATACTAGACACTTAAATAATTTACACTCATGCAATACAGTGGACCGCAAAAATGCCACTTTGATGAGTCACATCTGAGTCAAAGATGACAAATCTATATATTATAGAAAATTCTTTTAATCTTTTAACCACTTCTTAAGTTACATAGGGGCCTAAGGGAGAATTGTCAAACACCCTAAATTTACCTTTGTGAGCAAGTGTGGCCCCCTTATCGTCCCTTTCATTAATATTGATAACACCGTTCTCAACCAACATCCTGACATGGTCAAGGTCTCCATTGTAAGCCGCTACATGAGCAGGGAAGGACAAATCTGAAATTAAAAAATGAATTTGATCACACAAAAAAACTGTCATGGGTGAGGATCAGAGGTAATGATGAAAAATAACATTGTCATTTTTAATTACCGCTGTAAGTTACCAATGAAGGGTAATGATTTTCATCAAAGGGGATTTTGTTTAATATTTGCTGATTGTGTAAAAGATGCAACAAGTTTTAACCAATTAACTATATAATACATTAAAAAAATTAAATAAATCAATAATTGTGCAAAAGTGAATCTTTGCTTCAGTAACTTTTGTTATAAAAAAAGACAGATTTGAAAATAATGGTTAAAGTTTAAACTCAACCAAAGCAAAGATGAATCCACAAATCTACTTCGCTGATGACCTACTTTCCCCATCCTCTGGGTTATCCTGTTCATCTTCAATGTGTTTTATATACTCCAAAATGTTATCCTTGTAAAACTGCTGGGCAAGATCTTTCGGAGTCTCCCCATGATCGTTGCGAGCGGAGAGTACAGAAGGGGCATTACCATTGTTACAAACAAGAAACTTGAGGCAAGGGAGGTTACCCTCTGCTGCAGCTAAATGTGCTTTTAAGAGAAGGAAAAACAAATAGGTGGAGTTAGAGAGTACAGTGAGAAGAATAACTTATGCAAAGCAATTTTAGTTCATTTATTGAATGTCCTCAATATAGTTTTGTACTGAATTTTCTAAATGTAGTCTTTTAATGAATGTCCTAAATATAGTCTTTTAATGAATGTCCTAAATATAGTCTTTTAAATTTAAAAATGTTTTAAAAAATAAATAACATTAGATATAGTTTAATATGTAAATAATGGAACGGTGAAACCCTGAAACATTCAAGACAAGTTCTACCTGGCGTGTTCCCATTGTTGTCAACTTCATCCGGCACACCTCCCCATTTTAGCAGGAGTTGAATGCATCCCAGTCTCCCATGATAGGCAGCTGCATGGACAGGGGTCCAGCCCATGTTGTCTACAACTCTCACATCCTGATATTGATAATTAATTTTGAAAAAAATTTGACTGACTGATATGAAAAATTAGAATCGAGTTTAAGTTATTCCATTTAAAAGACAGTAATGCCTTGTTTAAAATATTTTAGGTGTATATCAGATTCAGAAAATTAATTACAAATGAAGTGTCAATTTGTTGATCTATATAATATTATGTAATTTTTGTGTTATTAAAGCTAACTCAATCAGTTTTAAAAGTTTTTGTTGGTGGGGGTTTTTTCACTTATAAATTAAAACAAACTTTCATTTCCAGTGTAATGAAACAAGGATATTTTCTAAAAAATAACAAAGAATGTTATGCATAAAAATTTTATTTTGTGTATATGACTAAAGAACATTTTAAAACAACTTTCTTTCCATGAATAAAAATAAGCCATATATTATATATATGTATTTTATTTTATATTTCAACCCAGCTTTAATTTCTTTTTCCATTGATATCAATGCTATATTATTAATAGGTTTGAAAAAATATTGATTGTCTTCAGTCTGCAGAATTAAATGTTTCATGCACCATAATTTTTAGTCAGTCCTAACACAGACAAAACTCAGTAGGGAATGAGTTAATGCATATTTTATACTTACAGCACCAGATCGAAGAATGGTATTTAAACAAAAGGAATGACCATGAGCTGCTGCCAAGTGAAGTGGTGTCTGTCCCCTTGAGTCTTTTGCAGACAGGCTGACACCATTATTTGCCAATGCCTGAAAAAAATGTGGAATAAGTTTTAAAAATCATTGTAAAAATAAAGGCAAAGTAGTTTTTGAACAAAATTAAATTTAAAAATTTATCAGGAATACAGAATTCATTGAAGGAGATTGACAGGTCTGGCACATTATCCAAGAAAATATATCTAGGAAAATTATTTTTATATCATTATTTATTCACTTTAAGACTTCACTTTCCACCAATGATGTTTTTGAGCCTTTAAAATGTTATACTCCTGTCCCAAACAATCAAGTTTCCCATGTATGTTTTTTAGTCTAATTATTTTACAAACCTCTATGCAATTCTCAAAACCTCTAATTGCAGCAATATGTGCTGGAGTCCAGCCTCTTGGAGTTGTGACAGTGGGATCTGCTCCATGCCACAATAACCAGTGAACACACTGACAGAAGAAACAATAATAGGAAAATATACTATATATTGATTATAAAATTGTAGTGATGTTCAAAGTAAAACAATACTGTGAATTTTATTAACTTCTTCTAATAAACCTATTGGGATACTTGCTTAGCAGAAGTTTGTTAAAAACGTGTAATTCAATAAGAGAAAGCAAACTGTTATTTATGCATTAACTCCTCATTTAAATGATTTATTCAATAACATATACTTATACATAATTAAAATATTTTTAGCAGAACAATAGAACTATGGTCACCAATACAACTTTAAATTTCAAAATAGCTAGTTAAAAAGAATAAAATTAACACTTACTACAGAGATTTATGCTATTAAAATGTATAAAATTGATAAAGCCAATGTATATTTGTTTTTGTAATAGCCAGCTGTAAATATATAATAGAAAAATGTATTTAAAATTTAATAATACTCTCAAATAATTAAGTTTAAAAAAAAAAAATGACATACAAACCTCTAGAGCACCAGCATTACAGGCAGTGTGTAGTGGAGTAAATTTGTCTTTTGGCTCTACTTCATTGGCACTGGCACCATTTTTTACCATGAGCTCTAGGTGCAAAACGTCACTCTTTCTAACAGCATCATGAATTGACTGATAGTTTGCTGGATTTGAATTTGCAACTGTTGCAGGCATTCATTTGATTTGAGAAAAAAAATTCAAGATAATTTAATTTTAGATTAAATTTTATATTTGAAAAAAAACCTTCTAAAACTTACTATTTTAAGTACTATAACTATAAGACTTACTAATAAATAGAAAGTAAATAAATAAGAAAGTTGTTCAAGTAATTTTAATCACTCTATCTATCTAGTCTCTAGTAGATCTTAAATTTAAATAAATAATGTAGAATGTAGATAATGATAATGATTTAAGTTTAAGCAATTGTGATTCCAAAAGATTAAAATACACCAAATACAAATAATTGGGTGAAGAATTATTTTACAAACATTTTACAGTAGAAAGTATCTGCGATACTAATAACTGATAGTGATATATTTTCAGGTTTCAATGACGCCATTAGTCATTAGTAAATTACAACATTCAACTGTCAACAGGCCAAAGAATTAATGAATGAATGGGCACGACCTATTATTATGAAAAGGGGAGTAATTTTTATATACTGGCCTAAGCCTATTATTAATTTTGTTTAGTAATAGTAATATTTTAAGGCTATTACTACCCCTCCGCCCCCACCCCACGTCACGTCCAGACCATCGGCATTGGTCATTCCTACTCCTACCATTACAATAATCAATAATCATTACAATAATCCATTCACAGAAACGGTAATCACAGACATCGCAGCAGACGTATAAACTTTTTCTGAGTCTTTTTTTTAGATTAATACTTGAGCATATATAATCTATTAATTTTCTACCCACCTGGCATTTTCGCAATGCAATAAACGAAATGGAGATGACGGTACGGGAACGAACGTCAGTTAATGTTGTTATTTACAGATCGTAGCTACCCATAAGAATCCGCGGTTAATATATAATAGACCGCAGTTAATCTGAATACTATTATGAACACTTAATATACATTTTTTAGTCTATTTAGAACAAAATTAGACATATAAATCTTTCTTTAAAATTACAGTTTTTATTTATAATTAAAATTTTAATAACTAGGAAATATTTTAGTATAGTATTAGTATTGTATAGTTACTTTTGTGGAAGGGTAGGCTAAAAACCAACAAATATAATTTAAACTAAAAACTTAAAACATCTCATCGAATAATTACAACACTTTTGATGGCCTAAAGGAGAAAATGTGAAACTTTTCCAAAATATCATAGAACACAATATGTTAAATATAATACTCATGGTCCAGTATTTAAAAAAAAAATGTTTTTTTCTGCAATAGTTTACTTTGATAACCTTACCATCTCGAATTTGTTTATCAAATCTCGGCTAATAGCTTTCACCTTTGGATTAGTGATGGTGTTTATTTTCTTATTATCTGGATCTTGTGCCAACGTTAAGTTGATCAGAATAAAAACTTGAGTTTTGAATAGGAACACAAATGGCTCAAGGACAAATTAGTAAGGGAGATTCTGAAGTTCAAAAATCTCCTGTTGAAAAAAAGAAAGAAAAAGACCATACTCCATCCAAGGTACTAGTACTAGGCGTAGCCACCGTAGTCTGCCGTAGTTGTAGTGTCGAGTAAATGCATTGCTCGTTCATTTATTATTGATAATTATCACTCACTAACTATACAAATTAATTAGTATTATTATTTTGGTAATATATCCCTTGAGCGTCGGTTATGGAATAAATACTATTGGTTTGGTTTCAAGTGGTGACACTATGACTATGATGATCACTGTCACTTATTCTTATCTGTTATGTTCATACTAAATTCTAAATGATATGATACTGTGACTTTTACTTTTACTAATTTAAATTTATATTATGAAGTGACTGGCTGGGGCGATTTGAGTCCAATATTTAATTGCCACTTCCCAGGGCAGTGATCTATTGCAGTGATGCACATGCACAATCCAATCAACACTTTCTGTTTCTCCCATTTTGACAAAAAACATGTTGTAACCAGCAATATATTTAAAATAGTGGTTTATTTTTTTCTTTATTTTCACGCTTTTCAATTGTAGGATTGAAGGCACTTTGGTAAAGCAAGGGTAAAGCGCGCCGGACGTCTATCTCCCGCACTATGTGTCCGGCGACCAAGTCACATGACCGCCGTAACAAAGTGGCGAGAGATATCTTGTCGGTCAGCCTTGTCACGTGACTGCGAATAATTCAAAACTATTGTTAATTTTAAAATCTATTTCTCTACCAAGTAATGTACTGAGTATCTTGAATGCAAATAATAGAAAAAAAAACTTAAGTGAAAGTGGCTTGTAAACATTTTTGTTTAGTTTGTTATTTGAGTTTGTGTACCAGTAATCCATAAAATAAATTAGGGGCCAGTGTGGAGTAGGCGTAGGCAACCAATAAAAGTTAAAGTAAAAGATTTCATTTTAAATTATTTCAATTGCTACAAAATATGTAAAAACTTCTCATGAAACTACTGTTGCTGAGGAACATGTTAATATAAATATATACAAAATATTTTTAATTAAAATGGGTAGAAAAAAAACGACCCTATCCCCGGTATAGATCCTCAAACCTTCCTATCGTCAAGCAACCACTACCACAAGACCACACAAGATGTACTAAACCGTACTTCGTTAGGAATTTTAAAAACTACTAGTCGTCCGGCCATGTCCGGCGGTCACGTGACAAGCCGCCGGACGTATATCTTGCGCACTACATGTCCGGCGCGCCGGACGTGTAGACACTTCGAAAATTTGTATGGGAAATGGACGTCAGTGCAGGATAATCCGAGTTTTTAATTTTTGGACATCAGTGTTTTTTAATTAATGAAGGTTTATTTTGTCATAAAATTGTGGTATCCTTCCACATGGTCACAATCGGGGACCTACATTCCAACGCATTTGCTTTGCCTTATTTGATCAACCTTAATATTGGAAATTCAGAGGTGTATATAAGCAGACCTGTTTACCCTCAAACTCTTAAAAGCGTATAATATCATCACAAAATCGTTCAATACGTTATATTTATAGTAAAAAAATAAACAGTATATACAACCTATACACCTAAAAATCGTACATTGTACGCCAAAATCGTAAGAGTAAACAGGTCTGTATAAGGCATCTTTTCCTCAAAATTTCTTTATGAAATTCAAAGACTAGGTCTGTTAAATTAAAACTTTAAAAGCATTGTAATTGTATATTGATGTATATGTGTACCAATCTCATTGATGTAGGTCGTGTTCGACATTCGTAATGCTTGTCCTAGTAATCTGCATTTACATTAGGTCGCTCAGCCTAATTTCGAAATGGTGTGGGCCAAGCCCTTTTTTAATGGCGGCAGATGCCGATACATAGGAAATATTCAATTGTTACTACTATTTACATCAAAATATTTGATAACTTGTGTTTCAGAATGAACCTAGTTGTAATTTAAACAAATATATTTAATTTGAGGTTTAAAACCTGGTAGTGTCCAAATTATAAATGATCATAATTTGCTGTGTGCAAAACGTCATGGGCAGCCATTCACAGTCACTTGCATAATGGCTATGTCGTAGTACTATCTCATAGTTTCATTCATAAGAGTTTGCTGTGTGCAAAAACTAATAAACCATTGGTCAGGGAAATATTTAATTTATTAGTCATCTGCCATAGTTGAAAGTTCAAAATAAGTAGTCCCCAAACAGTATTTGAGTAATAAGGGGATGTGTTGCCTTATATAAACTATATTGTCATTGCACATGAAGTGATCAGTGGAATGAGGTCACAAAGTATGGAGGCTTCACTTTGAAAATTTGTAGTACTAAAGCTAAAAAGTTTATTCTGGTTTCATCTTTTTATTTGAAATTTGCTCTGTAATATTAAAAAAAAATTTTGAATTTTTTACACTGAAGTACCTATCAATTGTCACCAATTTGTAACTAGCAAAAGTTCAACCCAAAATTAATTTACTGGGTAAAATTACGCCAGGAAAGGGGTCAACCGCAGGTCATTGACAATTGACAATACTTGCTTTGTACCTAGAGGAATGCAATAAAGTTGCTACACTCAGCACAGAATTTATGTATGAGGAAGGAAGCATTGCACAGTGAATTATACAATTATTGCTGTGCACTCTACCCATCGCATAATATGCTTAGGGCGCGTGTCACCCTACATATCACCAGCCTTTATATTACTAATATGGTAATGAAACATGAATATATCAAGTTAATTAAGCAAATTCGTTTTGAAATACTAAAGTTTTGAACATCTAATTTTTTTTTCTTTTTCTTTAGCTTTTTTTTAAAGCTGTTGCTTGCATTCTCAACTCAAAATTAATTAGCATAGTCTTTTTCTGTGACTGTCATAGGGAAGGCTAATGCTATCAAATTTATAGTATAGCGATGATCTGGATAGTAATGTAAAATGATATTCACAGGTGGTGATTAGACGCTTACCTCCAACCCTTACGCCAGAAGACTTTGTTCAGCAAGTTTCACCCCTACCGGAGTATGACTTCTTCTATTTTGTCAGAGCTGATATGAGGTAAAGTAAGCCTAGTTGGTTTTTTAACTCTACATTTGTTTTATTTATTTAGTTTTTTTTTCTTCTGGATAATAAGAACTAATAATAAGAGAAGGGTTGAATTTTACAACTTAAGTCTAAGAGTGAAGAGGGGAAACGGTCCATGTTAAATTTCACCTAAAATAGACCAGTTGGAGAACGCATTAGTTCTTACGCTGATTGAATTTAATTTTAAAATACCAAAATTCTGCTGTGTTCGTGCTGGGATTTATTATTTAATGATAAAAATGATGAAAACTTCACACTTAAATTTTTTGTCTTTCTTTTTGTCTTTTATTTAATTAAAAATTATTTTAAAATGACAATAAAATAAGTGTAGCGCTTAGATTTTTTTCACGTTACAATGTCATGAATTATTTTTGCAAAGACAATTTTTAAATTCAAAGCCTTGGAGCCAATGCTTTTACAAGAGCTTACATCAATTTCTTGGTGCCAGATGATATTTTCATATTCCGGGACAAGTTTGATGGCTATGTTTTCCTTGACTCCAAAGGTAACAAATTCTGAAAACTCATTTGATATTCCGTTGTAAAATACTCAATTCTTTTCTTTACAAAAAAAAAAAAAGGGGCAGAATTATTTGTCATTTACATGTTGTTTTAAAGACTGGTTTAAATTTGGTTTACTGCAAAATTAATTATTATTAAAACAGTAACTTTTTTTTTTTAATTATACTCAAAAATTAAAACACGTTGTCATGATCCAAATTTAATTATGATAACGCTGGCTACATTCAGACAAAGTTTGATGGTTATGTTTTCCTTGACTCCAAAGGTAACAAATTCTGAAAACTCATTTGATATTCCGTTGTAAAATACTCAATTCTTTTTTTTAAAAAAAAAAAAAAAAAGGGGCAGAATTATTTGTCATTTACATGTTGTTTTAAAGACTGGTTTAAATTTGGTTTACTGCAAAATTAATTATTATTAAAACAGTAACTTTTTTTTTTTTAATTATACGCAAAAATTAAAACACGTTGTCATGATCCAAATTTAATTATGATAACGCTGGCTACATTCAGACAAGATAAAATCTTTGCTTTTTAATTTCTTTCCAGGTGGAGAATATCCGGCCCTTGTTGAATTTGCGCCATTTCAAAAAGTGCCCAAGAAGAAGCCTAAAAAGGTGGATGCTAAAAATGGCATTATTGAACAAGGTTGCTACTTTGGATAACTTTCCATTTTTTTTGGCCTCATTTCTAACATTATTAAAACTAGAATCTCAAAACACTTATAATTTTTCAATCCTTGTGATATGAATAAGAAAAGTAAAGATAATGTGGTGATGTTTTATCACAAACAATGTGCATGAACTGCCCAACCACTCTGCCTGCGCTTATGCAAAATGTTTTTTTCATTGAAATATTTTAATTTGAAATCTTTTTTGCACCTTTATGAGATAATATGAACAGCCAATATTTTACTCTATTGTGTATTTTAAAGTAAAGAAATTCCCTTTTAATCACAAAAATTTCAATTTCATGGAAGTCACAATTAACATATCACAGTAACTCTAAACACATAAGTACGATATCATCAAAACTACATTTTTTTTCAATTTATTAAAGTTTAGGGCTTCCCCATTTGTCGTAAAAATATTTTAAATTGCAATAGTCAGAACATTTTCTGTTACATAATTGCAGTAAATTTTTGAAAAGTCAGTGTCAAAAGCTATTAGGTTTTTAAAAATTGGAAAACCTGACTCAAGTATTGAGAGAGCTACAGTGAAAAATACCTGCTATTGTGGATAATTAGATTAACTGACATTACAGATAGCGATTACAAGAAATTCCTGGAGAATCTGTCAAAACCCACTGAAGCTCCACCAGTATCATTGGATGCAATGGTCGTAGAAGTTGAAGCTAAAGAAAATATTATCAGTGAGTATATGTGGATTTCTTACTAGGCATGTAGCTCCACTGATTTTTATTTCATTATTTTCTTGATCTTGTTTCATAATTTGGTGCTTCATTAACTTTTATTATGACCTGCAAAGTTTGGCTGCACCAGATTTATACTTTGGACTTGTCACTGAGAGATTCCAATCCAAGTTTATAATCTGACTTTACATGAAAGTGCAAATTGACCTGGTAGTCACCTTTTAGACATAGCAGTTTCATACTTGCCCCAAAAACCAAGGAGCTGTCAGGTTTAATCTATCATTAATAAGCCTGGTGACATGTGCCTCCCAATGGCCAAGTGATTTTTTTTTCCCCTTTCACAGGACACCTGAAAGTTTCCCCATTCTGTGTAATTATTTTCATCAAGACCAGTTCTCCATCTTATATCACAATGTGACAAGACATGTTTTGCTTATCTCTTCAGCCAAGTCTGGCCTTTTGAAAATGTCGACCCCTTTATTAGACTACCTGAGGAAGAGACGTGAAGAGAGGAAACTCAACATAGCAGTGAGTGGCACATACTTTAATGTGATACAGTCATGGGAAGGCTTATACTTTGTCCACATTTTAAAATCCTTCATATTAAACTCCGCCTTACTTGTGGCTGGCAAAATCTAATTGACCCACTTCCCGTCGACCTATCGAGCTGAAACGATGGCTCTTAGACTCGTTGGCTCTTAGACTCGTTGCTGATGGCAACACATTCTATAAAATTTTCAGCCCCACACCCCAACACCCCAAAAATCAGTTTTTCCTGTTTTTCATGAGGTAGATAAAGGAAATAGGATGAAATAAAATTTTCCAATAACTGAGTTAAATGGGATTCTTTTTTTTTTTTTAAACTATGGCAGGTGCGTTTTGTGTTTAATATTTTATTTTGTTTTTATGAAATTGTGGGTGAACTAAATCTGCGGTGTAAAAGCAGTAATTAGAGTATTAATATAGTACCGGCACGTGAATAAAATGTGAGGTTGCGAGCCTTGGAAAGGGGGGGGGGGATCGATCACTAATTGGAATTCTTATAAAGTGAGTTACTTTTTATAAAGGATTTATATGAACAACTTTGTTTTTAGGGGTTGTTTGATTCTAATCACCATATTCAATATGTGTTCAATGATGTGTTGATAAAATTATAAAGTAATGGCAAGCATCTTTAGGTACACCTTACATTTACATATTTTGTTTACAGTGCTGGAATGTGTTAGCATTAAGTTAGAACACAAAGGAAATCAGTTGCAAATTTTGATGGCCAGTGAGTTTGATTTACGAATGTAAAATCAGGGTTGCAGCACTTGAAACATTTAGACAATTTAATCTGCATATTTAAGACCCCCGTCTGAAGCATGTCATAAAATAAAGAAATCCCAAAATTGAATTATTTTCTTATCTTAAACAAATTGTGGTTAATATTTTTTGTAATAAAAAAAATAATAAAAAATTAGTATGTGGTTAATTTCTTACTTGTTTTGTTTTAAAGATTACAATTCCCTTAAACAGTTCTGTTGAAAGTATTGCAAATTTTATTTCAGGTTTCTTTGAGAATTATGCATAAATTAAATCTTGATACAAACTCTGTTTTAAAAAAATGCATTTTCAGAAACTCAAAGAAGAAAGGCGGAGAGGCGGTGGTGGCGGTGGAGGAGGCAGGGATAGAGATGACAGAAAAAGGTCAGGAAAAGACGACCTAGACAGGCGCAAGTCCTCTGAGAAGGACAGAGTGCGGGACAGAGACAGGGATCGGCACAGGGATAGAAATAGGGAGAGGGACAGGCTGAGGGAGAGGGACAGACGACGAGATAAAGATTCTCACAGGTCAGAGAGAAACAAGGAGAACAAAGATGATGAGAAGAAGTGGCATAAAGATGGGGACAGGACACCTAAAACTGTAAGTTGGTGTTTTTCTTAAATAACTCCAGGTTTGTGGTTGGGGCAAGGGGTCGGAAGATTTCTCCCAGTTCAATTACTTTTTTTTTTAAAATAGAGAATCGTTACATACATAGAAGAAATATACATTTTTCAACTGAGATATGTTGCAACATCATTTTTTAATACATTTTTTCCCAGCTCTATCATTAAATAGTTAATAACAACAACAACAATAATAATAATGGACTATGGTAATATAAATGGCGAGGTTATTATACACATAAAACAAAAATACCTTGTAGAAAATTTTGTCAAGTTGTATGTCTTCATAATGCCTTTTATTTTTTAAATATTATTATCTATGACAGTGATTAAGGAAACAAGTTTATTCTTCTCTCAGGTGCTTAGAAACACAGAGAGGGATTCTCAGAATCAGGATAAAGGAGGCCCAGAAAAAGCCATCCCCCAGGAGCGAGAGAAGAGGGACAATGAAAAGGATGGCGCACAAGATAGGCTGTCAGAGGAAGGGAAGGGAACTCGGGAAAGGAAAAGTGACGACATTAGAGGAAAGAGAGGTTTGGGTGGAGGCGGGGGAAAGTGGGGGGAGGACAGGCGACGAGATGACGACAGGGATAGGAGAGGCAGTAGAGGTCGTGGCATGGGAAGTGATGATGGAGGAAAACCTTATAAAGAGGGTAGGGGTTATCAAGGCTATCGGGATGACCTAGATAGCCGACTACAAGATAAGGATAAAAATCGGGGAGGGGGGGACAGATATGAAAAAGGGGGTGATAGATATGATAAAGAAAGAGTTAATGATAAATATGATAAAGAAAGAGTGAATGATAGATATGATAAAGAAAGGGTTAATGAGAGATACGATAAGGAAAGAGGAGTTGATAGGTATGATAAAGAAAGAGGTGGCGACAGGTATGATAAAGATAGAGGTAGTGATAGATATGATAAAGAGAGGAGTGGATACAATAGTAAATACAGAGATGATCGATATAATTACAGAGATAAATACAGGGATGACAGAGGGGGCAGTGGGAGGTATAGGGATGAGCAAAGAGGAGGTGACAAGGATGATAGGCGAGGGGGTGTGGACAGGGAGAGGAAAGGTGTTGGGGAAAGGGAGGAAAGGAAAGGAAAAGGGGACAGGGACGAGAGGCGGGACGACAGGCGAGCAGGAGGCGGAGATGGATGGAAGAAAAAGGAAATAGAAGTGAGAAAGTTTGAAAAGCCGCAGGAAAAGAAGATTGATACTGCAAAAAATAAAAGTGGCGTTGAAGGGAAGAAAGAATCAAATCAAACCTGGTAAGCGGAAATATTGTTCTTCATCTTCTAAATAACCAAGATGTTAATGCAAGAAATTTAATTTAATATGGATGTAAAAATGGCTTGTTCTTTTCTTCATGTCTCCTGGGTTGATGCTAAAATTAATTATCTTTACTTTGGATACTCATTCCCCTTTGTTTATTAATTCATATCTTGATATTGACTTAAAAATAGATTTGAAGAAATTTGAGTTTGTCCTCCAGCACCATTTTTTTATCAAGGGTAATTTGTTGGACCAATCAAGGGTAATTTGTTGGACCAATCAAGGGTAATTTGTTGGACCAATCAAGGGTAATTTGTTGGACCAATCAAGGGTAATTTGTTGGACCAATCAAGGGTAATTTGTTGGACCAATCAAGGGTAATTTGTTGGACCAATCAAGGGAAATTTCATTGGACCATGCTGTGTTTTTTCTCCCACATTTTTCATCCATGGTCCAGATTTTGAAAACATACAATTTTTTTTCTTTTAATTATCTTTTATTACACAGGAGTGTTCAATGGAGAACTTAATCTTCACAGCTGTTGCTTCAATAAATTCAATATATAAATTTACTTACATGACATTTTCAAATAAATATACGGTATTTAACTTATAACATGGGTTTACCAGAGGACATTGTAATTATACAATTATTCATTCTTTCCCCTTGTAATAACAAATGTAAATACTTTGTGAACTTTGTGCCTATATTACCATTCAGTGGCAAAGAGGTCCAGGGTCAAGATACCGCTAAGGAAGACAGAATAAAGGTAACAGTTCTTGTCTAATGTTTACTCAAAAATCTTCTATCTATGGTGTTTTTCTTAAATAAACATTGTCATTATTGGATGGAGATTGGATTGCTTACTTTTAAATAAAGTTGAATCAAATATTTGGCTATAATATTAAAATATTTCAGCCAGCTATCCTATTATTTCATGATAATTTCTTTTTTTTTTAAATCCATACAATCTTATTTTCTATTTTGAACTAAATTGTTAAGAAAATTTTAAAGTTTAAAAAAAAATATTGGAGTATTTTTCCATTTTGAAATGGAAGAATGCACCAATATTTTAAACACAAAATAATCAATATTGGAACATTTTTTCCAAAATTTAAAAAAATGTTATTTAATATAGCATTTAATATGCCGGTTACCTTGTATTGAAATGAAAGCTGTTTTTTTTTTTTTTTTTTTTTTTTTTTTAATAAATTTTTTTTTTTTTTTTTTTTTTTCTTTTTGTTTTTTTTTTTTTTTCCTTGATATTTTTTTTATTTTTTTTTTTTTTTTTTTTTTTTTTTCAATAAATGTTTTTTTTTTCTTCTGCTTTCCATGTTGTATTTACATTTTTTCCCATGACATTTTTTTGGTCAGATATACTGTGTAGCAGATGTGTAGCTTCTTATATTGATGTTTTAAATCACATTTTTGTTGATCTGTGTATTGAAATTTAACAATTCTCAAATCAAATGGGGCCCTTGTTTACTTCCCTTTGTATGACATCTTTAATGGATAAGGCAGATAACTTTTAAAACTATTTATCCTCTTTTTTTTCTTAATATAATTATTTTCTTTAAAACACAAAATGTTTAACAGGAATTGGTTCATGAAATTCTCAAAACAATTTTTTTGTGTAATTTTTTCTCTCATAAATTTTTTTACTAGGCCTTTTATTAATCTGGTGTTTCTTGCTCTAGATGTACTTTACAGGCTGTCTTGTTCTGTCATACCATTTTAAGGAAGGCACCCACTGACTTGCACACCACTGCTATATTATTCTCTATGACTCCTCCCGTCCCTCAAGCAAGATTTTAATCTTAACTTAGTCTGATACATAGTTGGTTTTTTTTGTTGCTTTATCACCATGTGGCATCAGTGAACTTAATTGTTTCATGTGATTAAAGATTTTATGCTATTTATTATTTACATCTAAGAAATTTGCATTTCCTAATTTTCTCTTCTCCTTACCCATAATTTTTAGTTTGGTAAGTTTATTTCCTGATTACTTGCCAGTTTTTCCATTACCCAACCTTCCTACATCCCTGAGGATATCTTTAAAGACTGGCCCCTTAGTGTCCTACATGTTGCCCCTTAGTGTCCTATATGTTGCCCCATGGTTTTGTACATTTTGCCCCCAAGGAGTCATACATGTTACCCCATTGTGGGCTTTGTGTCATGGTTGTGCACCTTCTGTTTGTATAAGGAGGAAGAAAAATCTGGCCAAACAGAGTCATCAGACGGCAAAGCTGGCTGTGTCAAAAGTCAGACAGACAGCCACTCCCGGAGATCAACCCCAGATCCAAAGGAAGAGTATGATGGTAGGGGAGACAACACTGATCCCGATGATAAGAAAAGGAAGAGGAAGGTAAAGAAATAGGCCTGCTACCCTCTCCTACTTTGAATCCCACATGCATGCTTATATTGAGGCTATGTGGTAGCTGTAGTCACTTTAGTTCAATTTATCATGTGTGTATGAGAATGAACCACTGAATGTTCTATATTCTTGTTTTCACCAATTCAATCACAAAAATCAATCGATAAGATGTAAGACCCTCTCAACTGTGATATTTTAAGAAACAAAAATATTTCATGTCAAGTTTTATGAACATCTTATGTTATGACAGAATTGGGCTATGGGTTTTTTCCCCAGGATTTCACAGAGATGTTAAAAAAATGGAAAATGTTTGAATTAACTTGTTGGAGAAGAAATATTACTTTGTTTTTAGATTATGGGTACATAGAAAAATAATTGCATTCTCTTGGCTGCACACTACTGTACCACCACTGAAGGTCTGTCTATGATCTATGTGTGGAGATATATTAATTAAAACCTTTTTTTTTTTTAGTCTATCAAACTGCAAGCCTCACGTTTCTTGAGCTTTGTGTCTTTTTTTTCAAACAGTCCAACCTTGTTAAGCAATGAAACACTGGAAATATGGGCAGTGACCTGAATAAGATGATAACATTCTTATGCATTTTTTGTTATAACATGTAGTTTCATTATTCCTTGTATACAACATGGGTAATTAGTTATCTAAGTCTTCAAATCAGAATCTGAGATAGTTGTTATCAGCAGAGTGAAGGGATATTTAATTATATCTTTTATGTGTTTGAAATTTATCACCACAGAGGAGTGTTTTCTAAGTGGTATTCTGGAGTGTGTATTCTGGAGTGTGTATACTCTCTTAAAATTACCAGACACTGCGCTAGTACTGCACATGGTATAAAGTGTACCGCTATTCCTGCACATGTTATAAAGTGTGCCGCTAGTACTGCATATCGTATAAAGTGTACCGCTATTACTGCACTTGGTATAAAGTGTGCCGCTAGCACTGCACATGGTATAAAGTGTGCCGCTAGCACTGCACATGGTATAAAGTGTGCCGCTAGTACTGCACATGGTATAAAGTGTGCCGCTAGCACTGCACATGGTATAAAGTGTACCGCTAGCACTGCACATGGTATAAAGTGTGCCGCTAGTACTGCACGTGATATATAGTGACCTGTACAATGTGGAGCTCTGCTATATAGATGTTATGGCCTTTGACTTATTCTTAACCCCTCCATGCAGAGAATGCTGCCTTACCTTATCAGAAAAGTATCCAGTGAACATAAAAACTGGGAAGCATTTGCATCAATTCAGTGAACATAAAAATTGTGAGGTGTTTGCATCAATTCAGTGAACACAATAGCTAGGAGGCATGTTTAACTAACAAAAAAATTGTCATGGTTCAGAAGAGACTGATTTTTGTAACACTAACTCCAGATGTATGCTGTAACATAATGCATGCCACACTTTACTTTACTGACACATGACCTTTTAAAAATTGTGGCTTAACAAGACAATGGAGGCTAAGAGATATAAAACTCTTTACATTGACATCCTGTTTAAATTATTAAAAATTATTTACAAATTTCAAGCAAGGGGCGTTTGCTAAAACTATAGACTTCACTTACTTAATGATCACCCAGTTTTATCTGAGTTAAATATTTTCGTTTCTTCTTCAAATTAAAAGATTTTGATTGCAATCTGAGGCTCTTTTCAGTCATGTGGTTCAGGGAAGGGCAGTAACTGTTAATTACTCCCCTGAAAGTGCAACTCATCGGGGGATGAAAGTGACAGGTGGCCTCTCCCCTGATTGTGCGACCCCAGTGGACACAATTATTATATCTAAATATAAATCAGTGTTGCACCCTTTTCCCCAGGACCGACCGGAGCGACAGATCTACATTCCCAGGAAAGCCCTGGAGAGACAGAGGCAAGGTTCACCTCATACTGGAGAAACACCCAAGGACAAGCCAAAGGAAACAAGCTGAGCTGCAGCTCAAGCTGGCATAGACTCAAAGACACAAGCGTCAACAAGGCTGGTACTAGTTTGTGGGAACCTATATCTCATTCCACTAAAGAAAGTTAACGTTGATTCAGTGGGGGGGGGGGGGGGGGGGGGGGGTGGGTTATTTGTATATATTTTATTGGGACGGGAACATTGCTTACCCGAAGTAAAAACAATTTGTTCTCTTGTTGAACTATTTTACTTCAACTTATTTTAAACACAGCTCAAAGAAAAAATTTAATGATGTGTTTGGAGATAATCCTAAGGTACTGATTTTAAGAAATTTAATTCATTTTATTTTTAAATTATGAAGTTCTGGTCTTACATTATGAAATTCTCATCTCATAAAGAGTAGTTAATTCTTTTATGAAATATAATTGCTAATTATGTGTTGTTTCCCTGATGGATGCCTGCAAATGTTGCAAATGTAATATGACACTGGGATAAAAACCCTTCTGATGAGAGTTAGTGATCCAATATTTTATCTGACTCAAGATTTTTGAACTCTCAATTTGCATTAATTAAATGTATTGAAATTGTATGGAAATAGTTAAATTCCTTTGTGTTGGATTTAATTTATGTTTCTTGTCTATTCATTTATTCTGATAATTGCAGATCAATTAGTTAAAAAAAAAGTAATTTCCATAATTTATTTTATGAATTGTAAAGACATTTGTCAATCTATCTAAACATTTATTATAAAATTATAAAATCATTAGATAATTTATCTATAAAGTCAGGTTATAATAGAGACATAACATTATTTTGCATGAAGATGCTTATAAATTTTTTTCAAGTTTGATAACCCTAACTCTAAATTTGTTGCTGTCATGAAGAATTAAAAAAAAAGTTTTCTCTAACACAATTTAAAATTTTTTTTTAAAGCAATTGTTAGAATATATTAAATCATATGATCATTCAGGTGGCTAGATTATTAAGATGTCCAACTATCAACAGATCCGTGGAAGTAGAACATAAATGGAAAAATAACTTACTTTACTTATGAAGTTAACTATAAAGAAATGGCCTAAAGACACAACATATATTATTGTCACAAAAAAAGAAAATATGTTACATACAGATTTAAACAGATCTGTCTCTGACACATATAAACCCTCGGTAATTAGAAGTGCAAAAAATATAATCAAATTATTAAGTATTAAAAAAAAAACTGAACACAAGTTTAATTCATTTTTTTAATACAGTCATTGCCTGGAACTGGAATAAAATGGAATTACTCAAAAGTTGTTGATTGAAACTAGCATTGGCATATGGCAGGATACATTTTCACCAAATGAAATATCCATAAAAATTTGGCTTATCCAGCAAATGACACAAAATTGTGACAGGATTAAAAAACTTGACAATGCCATAGGCCCCAGCACAAATTGTAGAGTAACAAATACATTACAAAAAAAGAAAAATTGTTAAACAAATTTACATCTCTCATTTTAACCAACTGATTTAAGTATTGTGAAGCAATAAAATTATTATAAGTTTTAATGAAGCCATATTAATCCATTACCCTAAAATCTAAACCATCAGGATTACTACGGGTACTGACAATACAAAAAAATGTCTGATCTCAAACAATTAGAAATCATCCTAGTGAAATAAATTTTTTTGCAAACTATTAATATAAGCAACTTTTGTTAAGAATAGTTATGTGAGACAGACGTTCACCCATGGCCAGAAATAGCTCAATATTTAGGGCTTTGTCCCCACAACGCCTCCCAATTTAAATAAAACAACAACTGATGGCGCACTGCATGAAGACCATCTATGATTTAACCTATGATAAAATCAACAAAATGTGGAGAAGTTGAAACATGTCTTTTATATTACATCAACCCTTAAACTTAACTGGTGAAAATCCATAAAATTTAGCTGGCTGTATGTGCTTATACATATATAATACACCAACTGAACGATAGGAAGGTCTTATAAACCACAGATGATTCTTGTCTTTACATAGTTGACATTGTGATCAAAACCTTTCATCTTGGAACTGAATTTTTTTTAAAATTACAAGCCCTTGGAAAATTTGAAAAAAAAAATAATCTATAAGTAAAAAAAAAAAAAATCAACATGAAAAATCAAATAAATATTAAACAAAAAAATAATATTTCTTAAAATATATAAATTATTTAATAAAATAAACTTTCATGAAATATATAAATCCTTTTATTACATAAGTATATGTATTCAAGATATTAAAATCTCTATACTAGCACATGAAATAAGCCACATCCATATCACAGTTTTCATAGTAAAATGTACACAGAAATAATGTAGAATTATCACAACATTTAAATATCAGCAACAGACTGGAAAATAAGGACACATTCTTACTACTTGACTACTTGTTATCTTACAAAGTGAAAAATAATTTTCTTCTTCTGCGTAATTCTCTTCAATGATTTTCATATTTTGAATAAGTATCGTGATGTGATAAAGATTTTTACTTTTAAATAGGGGAGCTCCAAATAATATAGAAAAAATTAATCTGGTTAGTAAATATGTTAATGTACCGGTAGGTTTCTTTTTGTCACAATATGATAGATATATTTAAAAAGAGAAGTAATCGAACCTAATTTAAAGAAAATATTATCCAGTTTTGGCTTTGAAACCACAATGGATCGGAAAAAGTTGGAAATAGCTTAAGAAGATTGATAGAGAAGGCAAACAAGGAGGAGACCACATCTGACAGTAGGAAACCATCTCAATGGATGCATGATGATAAAATGGAAACTTAAATTGGTTTTAGAAAGCTCTCCAGACTAGAATCATTTACAAAACTTTGTAATTGTTAAATTGAAGCAAATATTTAGATGCTTTCATAACAACATGGATATATGGCATCTGCACAGCAATGCTTTAAAGCAATGCAGCAGCGAATGAAACAAACCATATAATAAAGTAAAAAATTTAATAAAAACTATTTTAAAAAAACAAAGTCAAGTAACATGTAATAAGCATTTAAATATATTCATCCTAGGGACTATATCAACAGCATGTAAGGTTTAGAGTAAAGGGCAGTGATAAAGCAAGATATTTTAATCCCAGTGATTCATTTAGTTAAAAAGAAAACTTTTGTATTCTCTTGAACACTGTAACAGGTGAGCATGATATTGCAGCATACGAATTTCTCACAAACCTTGTCCTTTTATATGACCAAGCTTATTTGGTATAATTAAATAGACAGTGTCAGTGGTGGTGTTAAAATTATGATGAATTTTTAAAATTTTGGTTTAGTATAAAGAGTAAGGTCACCAAATAAATTGTCCAAAAATAATGGACATCTTCCCATCTATCATGTACCCGCAAAGCCGGGGATTTTAGAGGTTTTTTTATACGTGTCCGTTATTTCAAAACCGGACACCTGGCAATCCTATCTATGAGTACAAAATACAACTCTCATCTTCAAATAACGTAAACTAAGACATCAACTTATGTTATAGCTTTGTCTTGTTGTGTTTCGATGAGATATTTCGGGTCATTTGGAAACTTGTGTCCAGTCATTCCTAAAAAATTTTCTGTCAAAACTGTCAATGAACTGCCCCACATAAAATAATAGCAAGTAGACAAGTTGAATTAACGATTAAATCCATTACTATAGCGATATAAAACATATGGTTGATTCAAGACAGCAGAAAACTCAGCAAGTAATGTAGTAGGATAAACAAAAACTTTAACCATGGACCATGGAATGTGAAATAACAAAAATCTAAATGCAAAAAAAACAACAAAACCTGAAGTAAAAGGAATAAAGTTACTGGAATGTGTTACATGGTGAGAATGGTGAGCTATTAATTACAGATGATTTTCAAATCCGTTATTTCTTCTATAGCACTATGCCCTGAATCTCATGAAAAATAATGTACAAAGCAAGTCATTGTAAACACACAAATATCTTAACTCTTTCATCTGGGTGCATCTAAAACAGTGGAACTAGTGTATGTCATTGGTTAAACTAGGGTTTGCGATTGGTCCAATCTGAAAGATAGTTTTAATGGCACTGTAGACAGGTGGGGGTGAGCGGCAAAGGGGTCAGTTTGAGTTCAATGATTTTACACCAAACCATTTACAATTAAAAGGTCCACTAAGCCATGATAAGCATGGGAAGAATGTTTGAATAGTTGTGTTTTTTTTTTTCAACTATTGGGTGTGACCAGAAATGGGGAAGAGATTGTTTTCACATGATTTTTAAATCTGTTCAATGAGACACTGTATTGGTTGGTAGGTGATAAATATCTGCGGGGCTGGCAAATTCAGGTGACTATTCTGAGTAAACTGCTGCTGTATAGTCCTCCACAAATGGCTAATAGAAAAGAGAACAAAAAACCTGCTCAGTGATGTGAACAATGTCCTGCACAATTTACATCAATCAAGTTTACAGCACCGAGGTTCACATATTTACAAAATGTCTAATATCAACAGCTTTGGAAAAATATGGCATACGATCTATTCTAAAAAAAAAAAAACACAAAAAATACCTTTTATTCCCCAAATTCTGTCATTTTTAAATTTAAAAATGATAGATCAAGTGATTTAACAAACTGATCACAAGAATTCTTTCAATGTCGTCTCTAGCCTGCAATACATCAGATGGTGCATTTGGATAACATTTTGGTGTATAAGGGTACTTGTATTGATATCAATCACAATTTATTGTTAACTTTTTGTAAAACTGTTGACAAATCCTTAATAAGAAAAAATGTATAAATAGATGGAACAATGTCATAACCAAATGTAAAGAAATTTTCTAAACTGATGATAATGACCTCTAATTTTTATTTCAACTTATTCCCTTAGGTCTGACCATACACATAATTTATAACATTAATTTTTATCTCTTGAATCACCAATACACTACAGCTGCGGAGACCCACCCAAAACAAGAATGCCAGATAGGATTACATTTATATAATAACAGAATAATACAACATTTTTTAACACTGCCGGCCATAACAACAGAAACATTTAAATACAAGATTTCCTACTTGCAATATCAGTTGTTAATTTCTGGAAAATCCTTAAAATGAATAGAATATTGAAAAGATCAATTAAATTATTCAAAAAAATTGTATGTAATTT